TTTTTTCAATGTTTTCCTTTATATTATGTAGCATGTTATAGATTATACTTACTTTGTGCTCTATAGTTCTAATTACAGTGCTTTTCGTAATTGTTGTAGAGTGTTCGAAATTAGTATAATTAGCGCTTCTGTTTTTTCAATGTTTTTCCCTTATATTATATAGCATGTTAGAAATTATACTTTCTTTGTGCTCCATTATTCTAATTACAGTGCTTTTTGTATTTGTTGTAGAGTGTTCGAAATTAATATATTTAGCGCTTTTGTTTTTTTAATGTTTTTCCTTTATAGTATTATATAGCATGTTATAGATTATACTTACTTCTTGCTCTCTATAGTTCTAATGAAAGTGCTTTTCGTATTTATTGTAGAGTGTTCGAAATTAGTAAGTTTAGCGCTTTTGTTTTTTCAATGTATTTCCTTTATATTATGTAGCATGTTACAGATTATATTTACTTTGTGCTCTATAGTTTTAATTACAGCGCTTTTCGTATTTGTTGTAGAGTGTTCGAAATTAGTATATTTAGCGCTTTTGTTTTTTCAATGTATTTCCTTTATATTATGTAGCATGTTATAGATTATACTTACTTTGTGCTCTATAGGTCTAATTACAGTGCTTTTCGTATTTGTTGTAGATTGTTCGAAATTAGTATATTTAGCGCTTTTGTTTTTTCATTGTTTTTCCTTTATATTATATAGCATGTTAGAGATTATACTTACTTTGTGCTCTATAGCTCTTATTACAGTGCTTTTCGTATTTGTTGTAGAGTGTTCGAAATTAGGGCTTTTGTTTTTTGAATGTTTTTCCTTTATATTATATAACATGTTTTAGATTATACTTACTTTGTGCTCTATAGTTCTAATTACAGTGATTTTCGTATTTCTTGTAGAGTGTTCGAAATTAGTATATTTAGCGCTTTTGTTTTTTCAATGTTTTTCCTTTATATTACATAGCATGTTATAAATTATACTTACTTTGTGCTCGATAGTTCTAATTACAGCACTTTTCGTATTTGTTGTAGAGTGTTCGAAATTAGTATATTTAGCGCTTTTGTTTTTTCAATGTTTTTCCTTTAATTATATAGCATGTTATAAATTATACTTACTTTGTGCTCGATAGTTCTAATTACAGCGCTTTTCGTATTTGTTGTAGAGTGTTCGAAATTAGTATATTTAGCGCTTTTGTTTTTTCAATGTTTTTCTCTTATATTATATAGCATGTTAGAAATTATACTTACTTTGTGCTCCATAGTTCTAATTACAGTGCTTTTTGTATTTGTTGTAGAGTGTTCGAAACTAGTATATTTACCACTTTTGTTTTTTCCATGTTTCCCCTTTATATTATTATATAGCATGTTATAGATTATACTTACTTTGTGCTCTCTATAGTTCTAATTAAACTGCTTTTCATATTTATTGTAGAGTGTTCGAAATTAGTAAGTTTAGCGCTTTTTTTTTTCAATGTTTTTCCTTTATATTATATAGCATGTTAGAGATTATATTTACTTTGTGCTCTTTAGTTTTAATTACAGCGCTTTTCGTATTTCTTGTAGAGTGTTCGAAATTAGTATATTTAGCGCTTTTGTTTTTTCAATGTTTTTCCTTTATATTATATAGCATGTTAGAGATTATACTTACTTTGTGCTTTATAGTTCTAAATACAGTGATTTTCGTATTTGTTGTAGAGTGTTCGAAATTAGTATATTTAGCGCTTTTGTTTTTTCACTGTTTTTCCTTTATATTATGTAGCATGTTATAGATTATACTTACTTTGTGCTCTATAGTTCTAATTACAGTGCTTTTCGTAATTGTTGTAGATTGTTCGAAATTAGTATATTTAGCGCTTCTGTTTTTTCATTGTTTTTCCTTTATATTATATAGCATGTTAGAGATTATACTTACTTTGTGCTCTATAGCTCTGATTACAGTGTTTTTCGTATTTGTTGTAGAGTGTTCGAAATTAGCGCTTTTGTTTTTTCAATGTTTTTCCTTTATATTATATAGCATGTTATAGATTATACTTACTTTGTTCTCTATAGTTCTAATTACAGTGATTTTCGTATTTGTTGTAGAGTGTTCGAAATTAGTATATTTAGCGCTTTTGTTTTTTCAATGTTTTTCCTTTATATTATATAGCATGTTAGAGATAATACTTACTTTGTGCTTTATAGTTCTAAATACAGTGATTTTCGTATTTGTTGTAGAGTGTTCGAAATTAGTATATTTAGCGGTTTTGTTTTTTCACTGTTTTTCCTTGATATTATGTAGCATGTTATAGATTATACTTACTTTGTGCTCTATAGTTCTAATTACAGTGCTTTTCGTAATTGTTGTAGATTGTTCGAAATTAGTATAATTAGCACTTCTGTTTTTTCAATGTTTTTCCCTTATATTATATAGCATGTTAGAAATTATACTTACTTTGTGCTCCATTGTTCTAATTACAGTGCTTTTTGTATTTGTTGTAGAGTGTTCGAAGTTAATATATTTAGCACTTTTGTTTTTTTAATGTTTTTCCTTTATAGTATTATATAGCATGTTATAGATTATACTTACTTCTTGCTCTCTATAGTTCTAATTAAAGTGCTTTTCATATTTATTGTACAGTGTTCGAAATTAGTAAGTTTAGCGCTTTTGTTTTTTCAATGTTTTTCCTTTATATTGTATAGCATGTTAGAGATTATATTTACTTTGTGCTCTTTAATTTTAATTACAGCGCTTTTCGTATTTGTTATAGAGTGTTCGAAATTAGTATATTTAGCGCTTTTGTTCTTTCATTGTTTTTCCTTTACATTATATAGCATGTTAGAGATTATACTTACTTTGTGCTTTATAGTTCTAATTACAGTGATTTTCGTATTTGTTGTAGAGTGTTTGAAATTAGTGTATTTAGCGCTTTTGTTTTTTCAATGTATTTCCTTTATATTATGTAGCATGTTACAGATTATATTTACTTTGTGCTCTATAGTTTTAATTACAGCGCTTTTCGTATTTGTTGTAGAGTGTTCGAAATTAGTATATTTAGTGCTTTTTTTTCAATGTTTTTCCTTTATATTATATAGCATGTTAGAGATTATACTTACTTTGTGCTTTATAGTTCTAATTACAGTGATTTTCGTATTTGTTGTAGAGTGTTCGAAATTAGTATATTTAACGCTTTTGTTTTTTCAATGTATTTCCTTTATATTATGTAGCATGTTATAGATTATACTTACTTTGTGCTCCATAGGTCTAATTACAGTGCTTTTCGTATTTGTTGTAGATTGTTCGAAATTAGTATATTTAGCGCTTCTGTTTTTTCATTGTTTTTCCTTTATATTATATAGCATGTTAGAGATTATACTTACTTTGTGCTCTATAGCTCTTATTACAGTGCTTTTCGTATTTGTTGTAGAGTGTTCGAAATTAGCGCTTTTGTTTTTTGAATGTTTTTCCTTTATATTATATAACATGTTTTAGATTATCCTTACTTTGTGCTCTATAGTTCTAATTACAGTGCTTTTCGTATTTGTTGTGGAGTGCTCGAAATTCGTATGTTTAGCGTTTTTGTTTTTTCAATATTTTTCCTTTATATTATTATATAGCATGTAATAGATTATACTTACATTGTGCTCCATAGTTCTAATTATAGTGATTTTCGTATTTGTTGTAGAGTGTTCGAAATTAGTATATTTAGCGCTTTTGTTCTTTCAATGTTTTTCCTTTATATTATATAGCATGTTATAGATTATACTTACTTTGTGCTCTATAGTTCTAATTACAACGCTTTTCGTATTTGTTGTAGAGTGTTCAAAATTAGTATATTTATCGCTTTTGTTTTTTCAATGTTTTTCCCTTATATTATATAGCATGTTAGAAATTATACTTATTTTGTGCTCCATAGTTCTAATTATAGTGCTTTTTATATTTGTTGTAGAGTGTTCGAAATTAGTATATTTAGCACTTTTGTTCTTTCAATGTTTTTCCTTTATATTATTATATAGCATGTTATAGATTATACTTACTTTGTGCTCTCTATAGTTCTAATTAAAGTGCTTTTCATATTTATTGTAGAGTGTTCAAAATTAGTAAGTTTAGCGCTTTTGTTTTTTCAATGTTTTGAGACATTGAAGGCAAAGCTTACTCAAGCACCAGTACTTGTGCTATCAAATTTTTAGAAGACCTTTGAGCTTAAGTGTGACGCTTCGGGCAAAGGCATGGGTGTAGTTTTGCTTCAAGAAGGTCGACCCATAGCCTATCATAGTGAGAAATTTGGAGGGGCTGCCTTGAATTACTCTACATATGACAAGGAGTTATATGCGGTGGTACGTGCTTTGAAGACATGGCAACATTATTTGATGCCACGAGAGTTTGTGATACACACCGATCATGAGACCTTGAAGCACTTGAGGGGGCAACAAAAGCTGAATCGAAGGCACGCACGATGGGTATCTTTTATTGAGTCATTTCCATACACCATCAAGTACAAAAAGGGTAAGGATAATATTGTCGCAGATGCACTCTCACGTAGGTATGCTTCAATTTCATACGCATCCACGCATTTATTAGGATTTGAGCATGTTAAAGAATTATACCACACTGATGAGGATTTCAAAGATGTGTATGCTTTGTGTGAATGTCATGGGCATGATAAGTATTGCAGACATGAGGGATTTTTGTACTATGATAATCGACTTGGTATCCCAAAATGCTCCATTCGGGAGTTACTAATACAAGAAGTTCACGGTGGTGACATGATGGGCCACTTTGGGAAGAATGCTACAATGGAAGCTCTTGGAGAGAAATTTTATTGGCCTGGAATGCGCAAGCAAGTTGCAGATTATATTTCACGATGCGTGACGTGCCTTAAAGCCAAGTCAACACTTAAGCCACATGGACTCTACAGGCCTCTTCCACCCCCTGAGGGACCTTGGATTGATATTAGTATGGATTTTGTATTGGGTTTACCTAAGACCGCAAGTGCTAAAGATTCTATTTTCGTTGTGGTTGACAGGTTTTCCAAGATGGCGCATTTCATTCTCTGTGCAAAGACAAATGATGCCCATCACATCGCCAAACTATTTTTCAAAGGAGATAGTACGCCTTCATGGATTGCCAAGGTCTATTGTCTCAGATCGTGATGCAAAGTTCATGAATGCCAAACAACCCCTTCGAGATCTTCGTCTTCTACAGCCTCGTCTCTCTCGTCCCATCTGGCAATGGTCGAATTGAAGCAGCGAATCCTCAATTCCCTCTCCAAGCTCGCCGACCGCGACACGCATCAGATCGCTGTGGAGGACCTCGAGAAGACAATCCATTCCATCTCAAATGACGGCATCTCAATGCTTGAATTGCCTCTGCGACGCCGTCAATGACCCCAAGCCCGCCGTGAAGAAGGAGAGCCTCCACCTGCTCGCCGCTCTCTGAGCCGCCCACACCGATCCTGCCGCCACTCACCTCACTAAAATTATTTCCCACATTGTCAGGAGGCTCAAGGATTCCGATTCCCAGGTTAGGGACGCGTGTCGCGACACCATTGGCTCCCTGGCGAGGCTGTACTTGAAGTGCGGCGGTGGCGCCGGAGATGGCGCTGTTTCGCTCTTTGTTAAGCCCCCTTTTTGAGGCGATGAATGAGAACAACAAAACCGCCCAAGCAGGTGCGTTTATGTGTATGGCTAAGATGGTGGAATGTGCTACTGATCTGCCTCCGGCAACGTTTCAGAAGCTTTGCCCTAGGGTCTGCAAGTATTTGAACAATCCTAATTTCTTTGCCAAGGCTTCTCTGCTGCAAGTTGTCTCCAGCCTTTCTAAGGTTTAATCGCTTCTCCATAACTGCTTTGCTGCATTGGCTGTTCTTGTTAATGTTTGAGTTTATCTGCCCTAACCATTTCGAATCAATTAATATTTGAAACTTTTGGAAAACTTTTGGAGTATGCAACAGGCTGTTTTCTTGGACAAGTTTTTTAGGGGATAGAATGTGGTGATGATAATCTTATAGAAAGATGGACCTTAGGGCTGTACAATTCTATACCATAGGAATATTGCTGGGGGCCCTTATATTCGGTTTCAGAAGCAAGAGAATTCTTATCATGCTTAGGAGTCTTTTCTTGTATATAGCTACTACATGTGCACAACTCTTATTTTACATCCTCTTGATGTGTTTAATGAAAGCTATATATTTGTTTCTCAAGAAAAGAGAAAGGTTCTGTGATTTCACTGGAGAAGAAATACAAATCAACTTTACAAGATGGGAACTTGTTGAATCTCTGTGATTTGTTGTTTGATCACACGGGGATTAAGCATGCCACTCCTATTTGGTCACAAGGATAATCTTTCTTCTTATTATTATGGCTTCCTATTTGGTATACGATAATTTGCTCTTATTCCTTAGTCATTGCCGCAGTTTATTAGCATATTGTGTGGTATTCTTCTTCTTGTTTTTAGGTTTGGGGTATTGAGACTGTAGGAAGATAGTTTGCTCTAGTCATTGCCGACGTTTATGATAGCATACTGTAAAGCACTGGTTTTTATGGATGCCGGTCTTCAACCATATTTTTTCAGCCTATGGCCAATAATCTGTTGAAAACTTTTCTTGGCTGAATAGGGTTGAAGATGCAAATTTGAATTAAACTTTTGATAATGTGGAAATGGATAGTTGATTGGGCCTTATAATCCTTGAAAGTGTTCAAATTGTTGTTAAGAATGAGATGAGATTACTTCTTGTTAAGAATGAGATGAGATTACTACTACTACTACTCAGCTAGCCAGATCCCTGCTAGCTAGCTTAGCTGCTGGATAGCTGAGCTCGCCTCTGTGCTCAATATGTATGTATGTATGTATGTATCATAATGAGAAGGAGGATGAGGATGAGGTTGCAGTGGGGGAACATATACTCATTCATTCCTTCAGCTGCAACTCCCTCTTGACAGCTTGCTACCTAGGCGGGTAGTTATGTTGTGAAAAACCAATTACATTGTTTGGTTGTATTAGTTCCCTCTTTTTTCTTGTTGCCATAGATTAAACAAACCCCTTGGCTTTTTAATCTTTAATGTTATTATTTACTTGTTGTGTTTCTAGGTAAGTTTCAATGAATTTATTTTATGTTATGAGTGTTCATAGTGTGAGCAGGTCCTTGCCACTGCTCATTATTTATTAACAAATTTTAGTTTCTCTTTGAATGTGTCAGATCAATGAGGGATAACTCCATATTGGTAAGTGGAGAAAGTGGTGCTGGTAAAACAGAAACTACTAAGATGCTTATGCGGTATCTTACCTATTTGGGAGGTCGTAAAAAAACTGAAGGGCGGACAGTAGAATAACAAGTTCTTGAGGTAACGTATATGCTTTAACTTATAATTTGTGCTTAAGTTTTTCACTTCTATGATAATGTTGAGTATACTATTGGAACTTTCTGATTTATGTATGGAACAATTGGCTGATTGTTGTCTTGCTGAAGCTAATGAGCATTTTAAGATAATTAGAAATATTTGTTTTCCTCATATGTACACAAACTCCACTAAGGTTGGACGGTCTTAAGAATTTTCACTTTATTACTAGCTGAATGACTTTATTTGGTAGTTTTTGTAGACCAGGAAATATCTGTTTGTTTCGTAACGGCTACTTGCCTTTATTGAAATATGATATCTAATAATTAGGAACCACAAGGGATTGGTTCTCAGAAAAACCCTTTATGGTTATTTAAATAAATCTTCTTAAACCTTAGTATGGCTTATTTAACTGACATGATTTTTGTGTCTATTAGTCCTTTTATCTCTGGTATATTTGAAACATAATGAGTGGTTTAATGCAGTCCAATCCGGTACTGGAATCATTTGGTAATGCAAAAACTGTATGAAATAACAATTTAAGGTGAAAGTTTCTCAACTTGTTTAAATCAGACTGATGGTATTGAAAACAATGACATTACAGCTAGTAATCCAGAATGGCTTGTGATTATGCAGTCGCTTTGGTAAATTTGTGGAAATTCAGTTTGATAAACATGGACGAATATCTGGAGCAGCCATAAGAACTTATCTTATTGAAAGATCTCGAGTGTGCCAAATTTCAGATCCTGAACGCAATTATCACTGTTTCTATCTTCTTTGTGCTGCTCCAAATGAGGTAATTACTATTACACTAAAATTCTCTGTCACAGATTTCAGTTTGATATCCTCACAGCCATTTTACTTGTGATCAGGATATTGACAAGTACAAGCTAGGGCCTCTGAAGACATTCCATTATCTCAATCAATCTAATTGTATTGAACTTGCTGGTGTGAATGATGCTCATGAGTATTTGGCTACCAGGAGGGCAATGGATGTTGTCGGAATAAGTCAAAAGGACAAGGTAAAATCTTAATGCTCGTGTCTTCTTGATATAATGTAGCACTCTATCCTCAGGTGCTTAAGGTTCTCTCACCCTTCAGGATGCAATTGTGGCAACTATTCTCCATCTTCGTAATGTTGACTTTTCTAAGGGGCAGGAAATTGATTCGTCAGTTATAAAGGATGACGAATCGAAATTCCATCTTAAGACAGTTGCAGAGCTTCTTATGTATGATTGAAGCCCATTTCAAGCCATCAGTATTTCTTAAAGCTTTACTATTTCTGGATTTTATTATATTATATTTTATTTTATTACTACGTGTAATCCTGTTGCACTGGAAGATGCAATACTGAAGCGTGTGATGGTCACTCCTGAAGAAGTTATTAAGAGAAGTCTTGATCCTACTGCTGCATTAACGACATGTCTTCAAGATGGAGCAGGAGGAGTACGAAAGAGAGGTGATTGACTGGAGCTACATAGAATTTGTAGATAACCAAGATGTTCTTGATCTTATTGAAAAGGTTCACATTTCTACTTTTGTTTGTTTGCTCTGAGTTTCGAGATCAACATTGCATGTAGTGTTAATTCAGAAACAAATTATTCTCTCTGTTTTTGTTCGGTATAGCTATTACTGTTAATTTTTTTTCTTCAAATTCGCCCTTGCATTGATTACTACCTTCCCCCACTTTTGAATTACCCATGATTTTATTTTGTAATTTAGCTGTTTCTGTAGAGCTATACACAGTACATCCCGCTACAAATCATTGATCTCGATTCCTGGTTGAAGACCCCCTCAATATATGTTTTTGATTGCTCTGTTGCTGGATTTATTGTGAATGCCTTCATTGAGGTACAGTTTTCCTACCAAGAAAGCTTCAGTCGAGCTAGTGAGTCGGTTTTAACCTTTTTTTTCTTTGTTCTCTATATTTTAACAACACAGCTCCAGGAAAATAGTACCTCAAAGTTCTGGATCTTCCATGAGGGACTGTATTTTGCTAGCAGCCTGTGAAGCTCATGAGACGCTACCACAAAGTGCTGAGTTTCCTGCTGATGTATTTACTTCCTGCCTTACAACACCCATAAAAATGGCACTAAGATGGTGATCCACAACTCAATTTTATTCCTAATTTGAATTGCCGTTTACATCATGTTTTTGGTTTATGTTCCATTATTATGTAGCTATCACCAGTTGGTTAGTGTCTGTTGTTTGTATTGGTGAAACGAAGAATAGTCTATCTCTTCTCTATCTCTCAGAATGTCCTGTAGGTGGCTCGAACAGGATGCAATTGCACAACATATTCTCTAAGAGCTATATTAAATTGAATGATTTAAAAAGAATGAAATCACTTGTTGATATAATCCTACGTGGATTTTTTTTATTTTATTTTATAAATAGTTATTGGTCATTGAAACAAACTAGGCTACAAGCCTTTAGTAGGAGTCTGAATCCTTAATATCTAAACGTGTTATTTTTCTGATATGTAATAGTCTTCGCTTGATGAGATATTTTTTGATCATGCGTTTTGAAGACCAATTGCCTGTTCAGCTAGTTTATTTTTGTTTGTTTTGTATCTTTTCTATTTCCTATACGGTTTCAACCCAATTGCTGGCTCTCACTATCAGAGGTTTCTCATGTGATGGGTTGTGTGCTGCTTCATGAATTTTATCTCTTTTGAATGTATGATTTCTTCCTTTTTTGTCATATATCTTGTGAATGCAACTAAAGGTTTTTGTTCGGAATGAATGTTATGCTTGACTTGGTTGGCAATTATCTTTGTTTTTTATTTTTTCGGTTTTGCCATCTTGTTCCATTCCCCTCTTAAAAGTTATTGCTAATAATTATGTGGTTCATTTTATTTCAGGTCCTGTTCTCAGTCACTTCTTCATGAATCAATTGATTATTCTCTGATTGATAGAATTCCTGGCCGCCAAACTAACAGGAAGACCCTTCTTGGGGAGTTGAACTGGATATTCACAGCTGTGACTGATACTATTAAATGGAATGTACTTCCTCATGGTAACAAACACCTAATGTCATTTGGTCTATGTTTTATTCTAATCTTAGCTATCATATTTTGTTCTTAATCTAATTGAAGGAGACTTTGAATGCTACATATTTATTCAAGAGATTGTTCAGGCAAAATCTTTTGGTTGCCAGCCTGTTTCGAAATTTTTTGCTTGCTGAAAGGATAATGCGGTCTGCAAATTGTTTGCCATTTTCACATCCAATGTTACCACCAACCCATCAGCACCATATATGGTAAATATTTGTGCTTGTCTGTCAAATGTACATCTAAGACATGTGTTCTTCATAAATTGGTATTTATCTGTCTTATATCCTTGTGATTTGCAGGGATGCATGGGACATGGCTATACACTAAAATATGCCTTTCTCAGCTTCTGACATTAGTTGAGGACCCAGAGGCCGAGTTCCAGGTATCTCTGACTATTACGTGTATTTTTTGCAGTTCGGAATTTATCATGTAGTGCATAAATGGTAGTTAATCTCATTGAGACATAGTACTACGACACATACATGGAGCCCTCCCATTTGGGGGTTGCCATATGGATATAGAACTTCAAAATTTCTTTTTTATTTGATATTGTACATGATATTGCTGGTTTACATTTGTTTATTAGAGGATGATTGGTTTATAGATTGAGATGCAATCACATAGGAAATTAGGATATAATGTGCTTTGGTTCCTAATTCATGGATATAATACCATGTATTGTACGACATGTCTGAATATACATAGTCGTATTTTTCTAGTTGCAAAGCTTTACACTACTAATGTCTGTGTTATGGCATGTTATACATACAGTTTGAACGTCTATTGATATATACGGCTCAATATACTCAAAAATTGTACTTGTGGATGATGTAGGTGTCACACTTCCACTGGTCAAGGTCTTCGTGACATCCGCCTCAGTCCCGGACACACCCTTTATTTTGCCGACCATTGCTGGGGTGACTACCCTTCGCGATGTCGTTGGTGAAGATCCTACTGAGTGGAACTACAAGGATGTACGGATCTACTTTCATACCTTTCTTGTATTGCCTTCCAAAATTTATAAGAAATATGACCTAAACTAATCTTTGTGTTGGCAATTGCAGCTTACGCGCAACCCCTGAAGCGTATCTACCGATTCACCCATGTTAGTTGCCCCGTTTGTCTTATGGATTGTATGTCGTACCCATTTTTGGATGGATTGTGTTGAGGCTGTGTGAACTATATGTGGAATGGATGCATAGACCATTGGAGTTTTAATTCGTGTGGTGAAAGATGTGGTTATGGATTGATGGATATCCGTACTTGCTTATTGTTAGGTTTGGTGTTTGAACTGTTAAGCACGTTTTAACGGAACAGGATGTTGATGTGTAGTGCTTGCTAGGCTTGTTTTATGGGTTGCTTTACTTTGTTGTTAGGTATGGAGATTGTCCAGAAAAAACTATGGTGTCCATGTGCCTTAATGTTGGGTTTAATGTATTTACTATGAATTAATGTATCCTATAACATGCTATATAATATAAATGAAAAACATTGAAAAAATAATAGCGCTAAATGTACTAATTTCGAACACTCTACAACAAATACAAAAAGCACTGCAATTAGAACTATATAGAGCACGAAGTAAGTATAATCTATAACATGCTATAGGATATAAACGAAAAACATTGAAAAAAAAAAACGCTAAATATACTAATTTCGAACACTCTACAACAAATACGAAAAGCACTGCAATTAGAACAATATAGAGCACAAAGTAAGTATAATCTATAACATGCTATATAATATAAAGGAAAAACATTGAAAAAAACAAAACGCTAAATATACTAATTTCGAACACTCCACAACAGATACGAAAAGCACTGCAATTAGAACTATAAAGAGCACAAAGTAAGTATAATCTCTAACATGCTATATAATATAAACAAAAAACATTGAAAAAAACAAAGCGCTAAATATACTAATTTCGAACACTCTACAACAAATACGAAAAGCACTGCAATTAGAACTATATAGAGCACAAAGTAAGTATACTCTATAACATGCTATATAATATAAACGAAAAACATTGAAAAAAACAAAGCGCTAAATATACTAATTTCGAACATTCTACAACAAATACGATAAGCACTGCAATTAGAACTATATAGAGCACAAAGTAAGTATAAACTATAACATGCTATATAATATAAACGAAAAACATTGAAAAAAGAATAGCGCTAAATGTACTAATTTCGAACACTCTACAACAAATACGAAAAGCACTGCAATAAGAACTATATAGAGCACAAAGTAAGTATAATCTATACAATGCTATAGGATATAAACGAAAAACATTAAAAAACAAAAGTGCTAAACGTACTAATTTCGATCACTGTACAACAAATACGAAAAGCACTGCAATTAGAACTATATAGAACACAAAGTAAGTATAATCAATAACATGCTATATAATATAAACGAAAAACATTGAAAAAAACAAAGCGCTAAATATACTAATTTCGAATACTCTACAACAAATACGAAAAACACTGCAATTAGAACTATATAGAGCACAAAGTAAGTATACTCTATAACATGCTATATAATATAAACGAAAAACATTGAAAAAAACAAAGCGCTAAATATACTAATTTCGAACACTCTACAACAAATACGAAAAGCACTGCAATTAGAACTATTTAGAGCACAAAGTAAGTATAAACTATAACATGCTATATAATATAAACGAAAAACAATGAAAAAATAATAGCGCTAAATGTACTAATTTCGAACACTCTACAACAAATACGAAAAGCACTGCAATAAGAACTATATAGAGCACAAAGTAAGTATAATCTATAACATGCTATAGGATATAAACGAAAACCATTGAAAAAACAAAAGTGGTAAACGTACTAATTTCGAACACTCTAAAACAATACGAAAAGCACTGTAATTAGAACTATATAGCACAAAGTAAGTATAATCTATAACATGCTATATAATATAAACGAAAAACATTGATAAAACAAAATCGCTAAATGGACTAATTCCGTACTCTCTACACCAATACGAAAAGCACAGCAATTAGAACTATATAGAGAACAAAGTAAGTATACTCTATAACATGCTATATAATATAAACGAAAAACATTGAAAAAAACAAAGCGCTAAATATACTAATTTCGAACACTCTACAACAAATACGAAAAGCACTGCAAATAGAACTATAGAGCACAAAGTAAGTATAATCTATAACATGCTATATAATATAAACAAAAAACATTGAAAAAAACAAAGCGCGAAATATACAAATTTCGAACACTCTACAACAAATACGAAAAGCACTGCAATTACAACTATAAAGAGCACAAAGTAAGTATAATCTCTAACATGCTATATAATATAAACAAAAAACATTGAAAAAAACAAAGCGCTAAATATACTAATTTCGAACACTCTACAACAAATACGAAAAGCACTGCAATTAGAACTATATAGAGCACAAAGTAAGTATACTCTATAACATGCTATATAATATAAACGAAAAACATTGAAAAAAACAAAGCGCTAAATATACTAATTTCGAACATTCTACAACAAATACGATAAGCAGTGCAATTAGAACTATATAGAGCACAAAGTAAGTATAATCTATAACATGCTATATAATATAAATGAAAAACATTGAAAAAATAATAGCGCTAAATGTACTAATTTCGAACACTCTACAACAAATACAAAAAGCACTGCAATTAGAACTATATAGAGCATGAAGTAAGTATAATCTATAATATGCTATAGGATATAAACGAAAACCATTGAAAAAACAAAAGTGGTAAACGTACTAATTTCGAACACTCTAAAACAATACGAAAAGCACTGTAATTAGAACTATAGAGCAAAAAGTAAGTATAATCTATAACATGCTATATAATATAAACGAAAAACATTGATAAAACAAAATCGCTAAATGGACTAATTTCGTACTCTCTACACCAATACGAAAAGCACTGCAATTAGAACTATATAGAGAACAAAGTAAGTATACTCTATAACATGCTATATAATATAAACGAAAAACATTGAAAAAAACAAAGCGCTAAATATACTAATTTCGAACACTCTACAACAAATACGAAAAGCACTGCAATTAGAACTATAGAGCACAAAGTAAGTATAATCTATAACATGCTATATAATATAAACAAAAAACATTGAAAAAAACAAAGCGCTAAATATACAAATTTCGAACACTCTACAACAAATACGAAAGCACTGCAAGTAGAAGTATATAGAGCACAAAGTAAGTATAATTTATAACATGCTATATAATATAAAGGAAAAACATTAAAAAAACAAAAGCGCTAAATGTACTAATTTCGAACACTCTACGAAAAATACGAAAAGCACTGCAATTAGTACTATATAGAGCAGAAAGTAAGTAAAATCTATAACATGCTATATAATATATAGGAAAAATATTGAAAAAACAAAAGCGCTAAATATACTAATTTCGAACACTCTACAACAAATACGAAAAGCACTGCAAATAGAACTATATAGAGCACAAAGTAAGTATAATCTATAACATGCTATATAATATAAAGGAAAAACATTGAAAAAAACAAAGCGCTAAATATACTAATTTCGAACACTCCACAACAGATACGAAAAGCACTGCAATTAGAACTATATAGAGCACAAAGTAAGTATAATCTATAACATGCTATAGAATATAAACGAAAAACATTGAAAAAACAAAAGCGCTAAATGTACTAATTTCGAACACTCTACAACAAATACGAAAAGCACTGAAATTAGAACTATATAGAGCACAAAGTAAGTATAATCTATAACATGCTATAGAATATGACCGGAAAACATTTAAAAAATAATAGCGCTAAATATACTAATTTCGAACACTCTACAACAAATACGAAAAGCACTGCAATTAGAACTATATAGAGCACAAAGTAAGTATAATCTATAAAATGCTATATAATATAAACAAAAAACATTGAAAAAAACAAAGCGCTAAATATACTAATTTCGAACACTCTACAACAAATACGAAAAGCACTGCAAGTAGAACTATATAGAGCACAAAGTAAGTATAATCTATAACATGCTATATAATATATAGGAAAAACATTGAAAAAACAAAAACGCTAAATATACTAATTTCGAACACTCTACAACAAATACGAAAAGCACTGCAATTAGAACTAGAGCCCAAAGTAAGTATAATCTATAACATGCCATATAATATAAACGAAAAACATTGAAAAAAACAAAGCGCTAAATATACTAATTTCGAACACTCTGCAAGAAATACGAAAAGCACTGCAATTAGAACTATATAGAGCACAAAGTAAGTATAATCTATAACATGCTATATAATATACACGAAATAAATTGAAAAAAACAAAGCGCTAAATATACTAATTTCGAACACTCTACAACAAATACGAAAAGCACTGCAATTAGAACTATATAGAGCACAAAGTAAGTATAATCTATAACATGCTATAGAATATAAACGAAAAACATTGAAAAAACAAAAGCGCTAAATGTACTAATTTCGAACACTCTACAACAAATACGAAAAGCACTGCAATTAGAACTATGTAGAGCACAAAGTAAGTATAATCTATAACATGCTATATAATATGAACGGAAAACATTTAAAAAATAATAGCGCTAAATGTACTAATTTCGAACACTCTACAACAAATACGAAAAGCACTGCAATTAGAACTATCTAGAGCACAAAGTAAGTATAATCTATAAAATGCTATATAATATAAACAAAAAACATTGAAAAAGACAAAGCGCTAAATATACTAATTTCGAACACTCTACAACAAATACGAAAAGCACTGCAAGTAGAACTATATAGAGCACAAAGTAAGTATAATCTATAACATGCTATATAATATATAGGAAAAACATTGAAAAAACAAAAGCGCTAAATATACTAATTTCGAACACTCTACAACAAATACGAAAAGCACTGCAATTAGAACTATATAGAGCACAAAGTAAGTATAATCTATAACATGCTATATAATATAAACGAAAAACATTGAAAAAACAAAGCGCTAAATATACTAATTTCGAACACTCTACAAGAAATACGAAAAGCACTGCAATTAGAACTATATAGAGCACAAAGTAAGTATAATCTATAACATGCTATATAATATAAACGAAAAACATTGAAAAAAACAAAGCGCTAAATATACTAATTTCGAACACTCTACAACAAATACGAAAAGCAATGCAATTAGAACTATATAGAGCACAAAGTAAGTATAATCTATAACATGCTATATAATATAAAGGAAAAACATTGAAAAAACAATAGCGCCAAATGTACTAATTTCGAACACTCTACAACAAATACGAAAAGCACTGCAATTAGAACTATATAGAGCACAAAGTAAGTATAATCTATAACATGCTATATAATATAAAGGAAAAAACATTGAAAAAAAAAAGCGCTAAATGTACTAATTTCGAACACTCTACAACAAATACGAAAAGCACTGC